TAAACCCTCCTAACACCCCAAAACCCCAAACCCTAAGCCCTCCTAACGCCCCAAGCCCAATACCCTATAACCCCTGAACCCTAAGAGCCCCAAACCCCAACACCCCAAGCCCAAGACGAATTCAGGGTTTAGGGCTTATAGTGTTTATAGGGTTTACAGGGTTTATAGGGTTTATAGGGTTTATAGGGTTTATAGGGTTTACAGGGTTTATAGGGCTTAGGGTTTAGGGTTTAGGGTTTTGAGAATTCAGGGCCTTCTTTCCGAGAGCCGGGCCTTTCGAGGCCACGGGCTCCGGCTCATCGGCGCCCTCCTCCTCGACGCAGGTTCCGGGTTTTGGGGTGGGAGGGTTTAGGGCTGCAGGGGTTTAGGGTTTAGGGGTTTAGGGGTTTAGGTTTTAGGGTTTAGTGTCCCGGATTTCGAGTGGGAGGGGGCAGGGTTTAGGGTTTGGGGTCCCGGATTTCGGGGTGTGAGGGGGCTTAGGGTTCAGGGTGCCTGTGAGGGGGCTTAGGGTTTAGGGTTTAGGGTGTGGCCAGGGTGGTTTTGTTGTTCAGGGCCCTAAACCCTAAACCCTAAACCCTAAACCCTAAACCCCTAAACCCTAAACCCTAAACAGGTAGGATTTGGGGATGTTTAGGAAGGGGCTGAGTGACTCGCCAGCCTTTCGGCCCCAAATGGGTTAGTTCAGGTCATAGCTAATTAGAACAGGGTTTTGGGGCCCATGATACTATAAGTATAATAAGGAACCACCCCAAATAGTATAGGTAATTACAAATAGCTTAGGGTTTACAGGTGAGGCTTGAAGGGTTTGAAGGCTTTGGTGGGATGTGGGAGTGAGTAGTGTTCGGGCTGTGTGTCAGCGGCTGTGGTTATGGGGATGAGGTTTTCGAAGGGGGTAAGGGGTTGAGGAAGTCACCGTAGGACTGAGGGTTAAAGGCACTTGGGTCCTTATGCTCATCACGAATGTAAACCGTTATTGCTGCTTTAATCGAAGTTGTGGGACTGATTGTGGACGACTATGTCGTCATACTGGATTCCACCATGATACCGACTGGGAGCTCTTGTCACTGACCCCCGAAAAGTGCCGCAAGCCCCACCCCCTAAAATGGTTGAAGTACTGCTCGACTTGACGGTCAGCCCTAAACCCTAATCCCTAAACCCTAAACCCTAAACCCTAAGGTGAGGCACGGGGATCAGATCATTCGGTTTGCTGTGCTTATGGGTGTATGACGGGCTCAAGGTTGGAAGGTTTTTCGGCACGAGCTCGGAGCTGTAAGAAGTCTTGGGGTTTAGGGTTTAGGGTTTATAAGATTTAGGGTTTGGAATCATGGGTTGTAGTTGTAGCATGCTAGGGGTATACAGGGTGTGCTAGGAATTGTTTGGCCAGTTCGAGCTGGTTTGTAATTTCCCAAAGCAGAACGCCTGAAGCTCAAGCCATGATTGAGTACCCATAGGCCCTAAAGTAGTTAGTTCCTTTTTGGGGGTTCATATTTAGAACCCTATAAGGTAATCCCAAAAAGGAACTATACTATGGGGCCTATGGGTAGTTGGTAAAGCCATGTAACTTCGCGAAAAGGGAACTTCTATCCCCCAACGCTGAAAAAGCTTAGCTTCCTAGCCCCTGTATAAGCCGAGCCCCAGATACATGTCAGGCTCCTAACCCGCGAAGCCTTCTAACAGGGACCATGTCCAGAACCTGCTGTGCCGGACGAGACGGTCAGGCTGCCGAGAGCCGCCAAGTGAAATGCCAGGTAAAAGGACTATTAGACTTTGGGCTTTTCGGGTGTAGGGCTGAGAACGCCAAAATGAATATGGGACCTTGATGGTTGGTGATAGTTTCTCGGCGAGCAGATGTTGAACTGAACTTCTGTGCTCATAAATCACAAACACGTTTTGCCGTAAGCCTTAGGGCGTTCAGGATGTATAGACTTTACGGCAGGAAGAGCCTTGAGAACGACATACAGACGACAAAGCCTGTTTGGAGTTGGGTGACTCCTGGACCCGGGACCCTTTTTCAATGTTTATGATTGGATATGCGCACCCCGACTAGGGCTATATTCTTTTGCGCGTGCAGTTACACCAATTGCCGCCCTGCCTGCCTTTGCTTAGTCCCCTCCAACCGCATCTGCAGACCGTGCGTCGAGACGACGGCAGAGGAGAAGCGGCAGCTTTTGCTGCCAGCCGCAGCACCCCAAGGGAGTTGTGGCTCCACAGCTTTGGGTTAGCGTCACAGGGTGTAGATAGCTCGACTATTGGGTTTAGGCTTCAAGGGCTTCAGGGTTTATATTAGGGTTTGAGAGATGTGGCTTCAGGTTGTTAGGTGCCAGACATCGGGTTGAGGCTTACAGCTTTGTTAGAGCTTTCCGGGGCTTGCCTGTGTTCACGCTAAACCCTAAGCCCTAAACCATAAACCCTACATGAGAGTTCGTTTCATGCACCTGGCCCGCTTCAGGCACACTAAGCTCTTTCCTCTTTATGATTATCGTATAGTGGGCCCCAAAACCCTATTCTAATTATTAAGGCCACTATATTACCTTATGTCGGGTCCTTATAATGAGGATCCTACTATTTAGGGTATTATATTGGGGGTCCCCTATTTTCGGAACCCCCCTGCGTGGCTGCTTTCGGGGCGTATGTGGTTGGGGTGTATGGGGTTTAGGACCTATATATCTAGACCCTCAAGAACCTATCCCTTTTCAGGTTCCTTTCTATGATTTCCTTATATATGTCCATAAAAAGATGGGTTCTTCAGGGTCTAGGTAGGGTTTGATTTTGTTAAAGCAATCCTATTGGGGAGTTTAGGGAATATAGGGCTTCTATAAGGCTTCCATAAGGTATATAGACCTATAAGGCTCCTCTCACGGCAACTACCCACCTGAAAATTTCCCAGACTCTGGGGCTTTGGATTTGTTGGTTTTGGTTTTCTAATCATATACGGCCTTTATGGATTTGTCATTCTGGCGGTAGGCCGCTTTGCAATCCCTCATGTCAAACAACGACAGGAGAAACCTTCAAGCACAACCTGTAAGTGCTGGAACCTTACATGTAAAGCACATGCAGCAGAGCCACATGCACGTGCGCATCCACGGACACAGACAGACCTGGCAGACTGATGGGCAGACAGACGGACAGACAGACACACAGTACCATGAAACACAGACACACAGAGACACACACACACACACACATGTTCACACACACACACTGATTGAAACCACAATGG